TCTATCGGTGCTACGTTTCAGTTACGTATTGCTATCCTGAAGGTGATCAGTAAGAGCCGTTTTAGATTATTATAATTCGTAATCCATGCAGGTAGGTGAATTCAGACAAGATAACGTTTACGAGACAACTGAGATCAGAAGATATATTGCACAAAGTAACTAGAAATGTCGCTGCACGTCCATGGTGGGACTTGAACCCGTCTTCGGTTCTCGGAGACCGACGTTATCCTGTAGGCCACAGGAGCACGACGACCTTCTTCTTGTAACTAAATAGCGTATTGCATCTGTACCTATTTTGAGAGATTAGACAGGCCAGTATCCTTAAAGAATGGCTAAGTAGCTAAGAGCCGTTTTAGATTATTATACATAACCCAGAGGTGAACAGACAAGATAACGTTTGCTACGAGCAATTCCAAAATCAAGAAGATATTAAGGCAAACAATAAGAAATACGCTGCACGCTCTGGTTGGACGAACCTACATATCTTCGGCTATCCCGAGACGACGCCTTATCCTTGGCCAGGAGCATGAGGATTCCATTTCTATCAAATACGAGTATTACATCAACCACTATTTTTAAAAGAGGATTGCAGGTCGCCGCAAGCTGAGTGATCAGTAAGTTAGGCCGTTTTGATTATTATAATTCGTAATCCACAGAGTAACAGACAAGATAACGTTTAGCAGGAGCACTCGAGATCAAGAAGATATTACAAAGAATAAGAAATGCGCTGCCGTCCATGGTGGACTTGAACCACAATCTCGGTTCCGAGGGACGACGCCTTATCCATTAGGGCCAGGAGCGACGATCTTCCATTTCATCTAAATATGAAATATTACATCTGTACCTATTTTAAAGAGGAATTGCGTCAGCATCCTGCAAAGAGTGATCAGTAGTTAGGCCGTTTTAGATTTTATAATTCTAATCCACCAGAGGTGGAACAGATAACGTTTACGGGCAACTGAGATCAAGAAGATATTACAAAAGAATATGAAAGTAACTGTCCATGGTGGGACTTGAACCCACAATCTTCGGTTCCGGAGACCGACGCCTTATCCATTAGGCCACAGGAGCACGACGATCTCCCATTTCTGTATCTAAATACGGAAATATTACATCTGTACCTATTTTAAAGAGGAATTGCTGTGCCAGCATCCTGCAAAGAGTGATCAGTAGTTAGAGCCGTTTTAGATTTTATAATTCGTAATCCACCCAGAGGTGAACAGATAACGTTTACGGAGCAACTCGAGATCAAGAAGATATTACAAAAGAATAGAAATGCGCTGTACGTCCATGGTGGGACTTGAACCCACAATCTTAGTTCAGGAGACCGACGCCTTATCCAAGGCCACGGAGCACGAGGATCTCATTTCTTATATCTACAATACGGAAATATAAGATACATCTCCTATTTAAGAGGTCAGTGACATCCTGCGGAGAGTGATCAGTAGTTAGAGCCGTTTTAGATTGGAATATAATTCGTAATCCACCCAGAGGTGAATGCGTATAACGTTTACGAGAGCAACTGCAGATCAAGAAGATATTACAAAAAAGAATAAGAAAATGCGCTGCACGTCCTGTGGGAATTGAACCCACAATCTTCGTTCCGAGAGACTATACGCCTTATTACCATTTTGAGGACATGGAGCGAGTCTCCGGCATTTCTGTGTCTAAATACGGAAATAATTACACGGTATACCTATTTTAAAGAGAATTCTGTGAAACAGCATCCTGCAAAGAGTGACAGTCAGCAGCTAGAGCCGTTTTAGATTTTTATAATTCAATAACCGCAGAGGTAACGAACGGCGTTTACGAGCAACTCGAGATCAAGAAGATTTAGAATAAGAGAAATGCGCTGCCGTCCATGGTGGGGACTAGACCCACAATCTTCGGTTCGAGACCGACGCCTTATCCACAGGCCACAGAGACCGATCGACCTCCATTTCTGTAACCAAAATGTACAATATACATCAGTCCCATTTTTAAGAGAATTGGTTCCAGTATCCGCGAAGAAATGGTATTACAGAGCCGTTTTAGATTATTATACGTAATCCCACCCAGAGGTGAACATGAGACAAGATAACGTTTACGGAGAGCAATTCAAAATCAAGAAGATATTACAAAAAACAATAAGAATCGTTTGGCCGTACTCCTGAACCACGACTTCGGTTCCGGATCGACGCACTTGTATCCATTAGGCCACAGGAGCAAGGATCTCCCATTTCTGTATCAAATACGAATATTACACTGCCATTTTAAAGAGGAATTGGTAGCAGCATCTGACGAAGAATATCACGTAGTTAGAGCTCGTTTTGATTATTAATGATAAGTCCACCCAGAGGTGAACAGACAAGATATAACGTTTAGCAGGCAACTCTGAGATCAAGAAGATATTACAAAAGAATGGGAACAGCGCTGCACGTGCCACAGGTGGACTGAACCCACAATCTTCGTTCCTGAGGACACCGCCTTGTAATCAGGTAGCACAAACTGCGATCTCCCATTTCTGTATCTAAATACGGAAATATTACATCTGTACCTATTTTAAAGAGGATTACAGTCAGTCATCCATAAGAGTGATCAGTTAGTTGAGCCGTTTTTAGATTATATTCGTAATCCACGCAGAGGTGCCAGATAACGTTTACGGAGCAACTCGAGATCAGAAGATATTACAAAAGAATATGAAATGCGCTGCACGTCCATGGTGGGACTTGAACCCACAATCTTCGGTTCCAGAGACCGATGCCGTATCCATCAAACCACAGAATGCCGCCAATGGTCCCCATTTTATAATTTCGTGGGGAAATATCGAGTCTGTATTTATATGTGTACTATCGAAGCTACTAGGTTACCGCTCCCACTGGTAGACAGAGAGCTGCGGTAACCTATTGGTAAGGTCTCGACTTTGTGTCGGAAGGTTCCGGGTTCGAAACCCGATTTCACTGATGATCCCGCGCTTATGGGGCCTGTTGCACGTTAAATCACACGTAGTGGCCCAACGCCCTCCTGCAGATGTGATGCGGAAGTTTGAAGTAGAGGATGCCGGCTCAGGTGTCACAGTTCAAAATTATCAGGTGCGTCCCAATATAGCCTTCTTGTTTCTTCAAAACGGACTCTAATATAATTAAACTAAACCCACGTTTTAAGAATACCTGGGTGCTAACCAGACATGTGGCGAAATCACAGGTAGGAGGTAATGCAATCGTAACCTACAATCGCAACGGGGTTCGAACTGAAGATAGGAGGTAGCACAATCACATCCACAATAGCAGCTGAGTTCGAACTTAAGGTAGGATGTAGCGCAATCAGGAGTTAAGGTTGCATCGGGGTTCTAACTCAAGATAAGGGGTAGTGCCATCACAACCCGCAGGTGCCAGGGGTTTCGAACTCAAGACAGCAGATAAAACAATCAACGACGACTGTCGCAAAGGGGTCGAAACCATTTTCTGCTGAATCAAATTTAGTATATATTCTTAAATTTTGACTGCTGCACTTCTAGTTTAAGGGGTCTATTCTGCTACCTCCGGTTGGGTTGGGGGACGTCACTTTTTCCTTTTTTAACGTGCGGAAAAAGTGACGCCCCCCACCCCAACCGGGGGTACCAGAATGGACCCGTAAGTTCTCCATCTCATCATTATTTCTTTCTAAAGTTGGCCAGTAGTATATCAAGAGTCAGTGGCGCCCGGGGCATATCAATATTTTTTCTCCCCTATTAGTCACCTGTGTCTAATAGGGTAAATTATTATCCCTATTAGACACATTATTATCCCCTATTATTATTATTCCCTATTATTCACCTGTCTCTAGTAGTAACCCTATTAGTCACCTGTGTATAGTAATAGTAAATGCTGCCCGGGGCGTGACATTTTTCGCCCCCTCATCATATTTGACTTTAAAAAGGGGCATAAAAGCACTGCCCTTGGAGCCTCCTAAAACTGGTGTGGGGGACATCTATACTCCCCTTGTCCACCCCTCGTCAAGTCACTGGTTGACGGTTTGTATCCAAACAGTCTTTAGCTATATGGGGCAAACGTTGATGACTATTTCCATTAGTTTTATTTGCTTCATTTTTTTCTAAAATTTTAAATTGTTTACATAAGTAACATTACAAAATCTTTTCGTACCTGTAAACGAACTTGCCCGAGAAACGAGGACACAAAATCGAATATGGTCACCATTGATTTGCGATTTTCAATTACAAAGAGACGTAGTTGCTCATACACACGTTAAAAGATGAGTGACCAACTATCTAACCTTTTCTTAGATAGTTGGTTTGACCCATAAATGACTTTGACCTTTTCTTAATTTGGAGGAAAAAGGAAAATTGGACAGCTGAAGTTAAACGGAGGGAGTATAAATTTTATTTAATATATTTTTTTACTTCCGTGTTGACCCCCGGGGCGGATTCGCGATACAGCCCTCCTCTTCCACCTATTTATACTGGTCGCTTTTCCGCTTTATGGTCCGGTAGTCCAAATGGAGCGGCTGGATATCCAAATTGGTTGAAAATCCAAACTTTAGAGCCCATCGCTCCAATTCTCATCGGTGTTTTGCAGTGGTGACCAGGTTTGGCGTGGAGCGGCCTAATTTGTGTGCAGTGGTGCGCTAGTGAATGTCCAACCTTAAAGGAATATGAATCCATACCTCCTGTAAATCATTCTGTAATTCTGAAAGTGTGAATGGAGGCAGAATGCGTGCTACTCGATAATACTCAATTCAGGGGGTTGTGCAACGTGTCCTTCTTCATCATTATGCTCTTTGAACCATGCTTCAACACATCTAACAGTGTGGATAGAAGCGTTGTCTTAAAAACGCGGTCGCTGTCCAGGAAATAGTCTGAATCAAAGGATGAACTTGATGTTCTAGAATGTTCCGATAGTGATCGGCTTTGATCTGCCCGTGCAGATTGACATGTTGTCTCAAGATATTGCACACCACATGTGTGTTCATATGGACCATGACCGCGTCAAGATATTGCACTCTATACAAACAGAGAGCCACCACAATTCCTTACAATCAACTAGATGCAGTCAGCAGTAAACACTTCTCCGGGCCTTCTACAGACTTGAACACTGTCTACTGACTGTAGGCAGCATACTGGTTCATCAGACCAGATGAATTGTTACTGCTCATGTGAGCTTCGCACCATTGGCGTTCCTTGACATCATTACGAGAAGTCGCCAGCTAAGGTTGGGTGATACTGTATCAACTTGATACTTTGTATCAGGTACGCAAAAGTATCAGGTATACGGAAATGATACAGACCAGAAGTATCAGGTACTCAGTATCACTTCTCGGACTCGATTGATAAAGACCGGTAATCGCTTCGACTTTGTTCGTCTTCGCTCGAGTGATACTGTATGAACTTGATACAAAATATCAGATTGAAACTGTTCCTCGTTTGGAAAGCTCGCGTTTTCGGTAGAGCTAATGATGATATGTGCAGATGGCCTTGGTTTTGAAGTGCTAGACGGGTGGAGGGAAGAGGAAAGGAAAAGATTTGTTGTTATAGACAGTATATTGAAAGGCGATTATTCCTTAGCAGTGTCATCCAGATCTATTATTTCTGCCTCGGCGACGCTATTAGAGTGCGTTATGTTTTTCAAAAAACTGCATGCATTATTTCTTACTGTTATCTGGAATAAAATAATTTCTAAAGCATTTTGTGCCTTTCCTTGTAATGTTTTTTAAGTATACCAGATTGATGGGACTTTCTATGAATAAAAAAATATATTTTGCTTTCAACATTTTTTTTATTTGCAGCAAATAAGTAACTCAAACAACAGAATTATTGTTAGCAAAATGAATTGAGCGTAAAAATTAAACTTTAAACAAAAATATTTTCAGAATATAACGATTTCAAACAATCTACTTACAAAATATTAAATATACGATGAAATACTTAAAAACAAAAGCGATGAAAGTTACACTCTTGTTATCATAGTTTTATGTTTTATGAAAGTCCTTTCTTTTTAATAACGTTTTAAAAAAATAAAGTACAAAATTAACTACCATAGCTATAGATAACAAGAAATTTGGGTAGAGATAGAAATGCTAGTCTTTAAAGCTAATATCTATTAGTATATAAAGTTTATATTAGCCCAATTTGAAACAAAAAACGCGAAATTTCTTTTATATTAAGAAAGTAGGTATATTAACAAAACAATAACTTTGAGAACACACGGATACAATTACGAAAAAGTAAAGAGAGAGATATGAAAAGAAAAATTCAATATTTATAGTCTTAAAAAAACTAATTTTTTAAAAACTTTATCAGAGGATCGTCGTCATTGCAATTTGCAACAGATGGAGGATCATTAGCCATAGGACGTATGGCATATGATCAACGTCCAGGTGGGCATTGTAAAGCAGTTGTATGCTTTCTTTGCAAATGTTTTTTTTTAAAGTTGGTTTCTGATGGTTTGTGAAAAGCCACATTATCCATTGAGCCACAGAAGCCCGACATTGATCCCCATTTTATAATTACATGGGGAAATATCGAATCTGTATTTATATCTGTGCTATCGAAGCTACTAGGTTCCCGCTCCCCCGGCTAGCGAGAGAGCTGCGGTGACCTATTGGTAAGGTCTCGGCTTCGGGGCCGGAGGGTTCCAGGTTTGAAACCCGATTCCACTGAAGATCCGTCGTGTATTGGGCCTGTTGCACACAAAATCATACGTAACGGGGGGCCGGGCCAAGGGGGCCCTGGGGAACGGATTGCGTAAGATTTCGTCGTCAGTTAATGGGTTAATTATGGTCGGAGAAAATTATTTAGTCGGAAATATTCATTGCTTCCTTTGATTTCTTGAATTAATTTTTTTCCTTCAAAAATCAGCTTACTTTGTTTTCCAGTCTGTAGTTAGCGTATGGACTAATTTTCTGTTTTGTTTATTTGCGGTAAAGTAGGACTTCCGCCTTAGGCATCATCTTCCGGTGATAATGTTAAGTCAATGGGAACCTTCAAACTTTCAACACTCTGTATGATGATATTTGAGTGTTTAAATACTGAGATAGTTTAAAATGGAAATTTCTATTGTTATGGCTTAAAGATACTTTGAAAATATTAAATCTCACGTTTCTATTGTTGTAACTCTCAATATTTATTTAAAATAAGAGCCCAATTTTGTTGAAAGGTTGCCATAATTATTCTTTATCTCTCATATTGGTGCTTTGAGTACTCAAGAAAGAACTGATTCGAACTTGGCTCTTTATATGGAATCCAATTATGGGGTCTATTCTGGTACCCCTGGTT